TGTACTCAGATTGCATCTGAAAGTGTAAGTTCGCTCTGTTACGAGACATCAGTAAAAATTCTGGAACGATTAGATATGCGAGTCAACCAGTTGTTTCCATCGAAATATGACCTAATATCAAAATTACAGTTGCTAGCTGTGAAGTGCCAGTTTGAGTACAAAGTTAAGAAGTCAAATAAGAGCACTTATACAATTGTTTGTATTGATGAAAATTGCAAGTGGCGCTTACGGGCAACCAAGATCGTAGAAAGTCCCATTTTCGAAGTTCAAAAGTACAATGGTCATCATTCTTGTTCCATGAGTGTTCGTCACAGAGATCATAGGCATGCTTCATATATGATTATTGGAAACCACATCGCTCTTAAGTATGAAGATGTCAACCGAGTTTACAGACCAAGGGACATTATTAATGACATTCGTCAAGAGTTCGGCATAACCGTAAGCTATACTAAAGCGTACATGGCTAAAACTTTTGCTTGTGGACTGATTTATGGGAAACCCCGTGAGAGTTATGCGAAATTGCCAGCGTATTGTCATGTTTTGGAGATGCAAAATCCTGGTACACTGACATTCATTCATACTAATGATGATCGGCGCTTCAAGTACCTTTTTATGGCATTGGGACCAAGTATACATGGGTTCGTAAACTCAATGCGAAAGGTAATTTCTGTAAACGGTGCATTCTTGACATCGAGAATGAAAGGTACTCTACTCGTAGCAACTTCTCAGGATGCAAATTTTCAAATATTTCCACTCGCATGGGGAGTAGTTGATTCGAAAAATGATGAATCCTGGACTTGGTTCTTTCAGAAGTTGCGGTTAATAACAGGTGATACGGATGATCTTGTGATTATATCTGATCGTGCAAAGTGCATCAAAAATGGAGTTAGAAATGTGTTTCGATTTGCTCATCATGGTAATTGTACATATCACTTGCAAAAGAACTTGAAGACAAATTTTTCACGGTGTGATGTTGCAACTTTGTTTAGGGCAGCGTCAGAGCTTATACTGTAATCGAATTTGAGTTCTACATGGCAGCTCTATGCAGTAAAAAGGAGGGCATCAAAGAGTACCTATTAGAAGAAGATTTTCAATGTTGGGCTAGAGCGCATTTTACCGGGATACGTTACAATATCATGACTACAAATAATGCGGAATCTATAAATGGTTTGTTGAAGAGTGCTCGAGAATTTCCCATAGTTGGTTTACTAGAATATATTCGTGGGATACTACAAAGGTGGTTTTATGAAAGACATGTTGAAACAGAAAAATGTGTGACCCAACTCACGCCAGCATTAGAGAAAAAGATGTGCATAACATATAATCAGTCAAATGGGTTGGAGGTAAATCAGGTTTCTCCGGACATTTATCAAGTTGGTGACAATTTAGAACACCACTTTGTGGATTTTTACGAAATGACATGTACGTATAGAAGATTTGATTTGGACAAGTTTCCATGTGCGCATGCAATTGCTGCAGCAAGGTTTAAAGGAGACGAGGGCTATAAATTATGTACCCCCTTTTACACTAGTATTTGTTGGAAGCAAGCTTATTCTAAATTCGTATATCCTTTGCCGAACGAGGTCGAATGGCAAATTCCTAAGAATGTAATAGCAGAGAAGTATTTCCACCATTGGTACGAAGACAGGGCGAACGACCATCAAAAAAGAGGAAAATGTCGGCCGGAGAGACGCGTGTGGCTCGTAAGTGCAGCAGGTGCAAGAAAACTGGTCATGTTCGATCCACTTGCACGGGCCAAGCAGCTAGTAGTGAACATTAATGTTGTAACACTATCTTATTTTGTAACTGTACGACTTCGTACTTATTATATCAACTGAATGAAATCACTTATTAGATTTTGTACTCATTGTGTTATTGAAAATTTTTGTATCGTTGGAATCAAATTTTAGTACTTTAGGTATTCATGTTCCTATCTTCTCACAGGGAATGCAAACTACGTTCATGTCGTTACAGTAGACATGAACGTCGTTCCAGTTCAAAAATTGTACAGATTAACATAACGAGTTATAAATCGTTTCTGAGACACAAAACGACATTCATATCGTTTCAATGTTAAATACACACTGCTTCTCTGATTTTTCTAAACGACTTAGAACTCGTTATGAATATAAATAACGACTTAAAAGTCGTTTCAGTTAAAATTTATATTAAAACGATTTATACCACGTTTTCGAGACACAAAACGACATTCATATTGTTTAAATGTTAAATACACACTGCTTCTCTAATTTTGTGTAGCGACTTAGAACTCGTTATGAGCATAAATAACGACTTAAAAGTCATTTCCCTAAAAATTTATACTAAACCGATTTCTATCTCGTTTCTGGGAAACAAAACGACATTCATATCGTTTCAATGTTAAATACACTGCTTCTCTGATTTTGCGTAACGACTTAGAACTCGTTATGAACATAAATAATGACTTAAAAGTCGTTTCCATTAAAATTAAAACTAAAACGATTTCTACCTCATTTTTGGGATACAAAACGACATTCATATCATTTCAATGTTAAATACACTGCTTCTCTGATTTTGCGTAACGACTTAGAACTCGTTATGAACATAAACAACGACTTAAAAGTCGTTTCAGTTACAATTGACACTAAAACGATTTCTACCTCGTTTCTGGTAGACAAAACGACATTTATCGTTTCAATGTTAAATATACACTGCCTCTCCGATTTTGAGTAACGACTTAGATATCGTTGTAGACACACATAACGACTTCTAAGTCGCGTCAGCCAAAATTGATACTAAAACGATTTCTAACTCGTTTCTTGGACACAAAACGACATTAATATCGTTTCAATGTTAAATACACACTGCTTCTCTGATTTTGAGAAACGACTTAGACCTCGTTATGACCAAAACTAACGATTTAGAAGTCGTTTCGGGTAAAATTAGTACTAAAACGATTTCAAACGTGTTCCTGAGACACAAAACGACATTTATATCGTTTCAATGTTAAATACACACTGCTTCTCTGATTATCGTTCCTTCTCGTTCAGAACGACATTGATATTGTTCTAGCGTAATTGTTCCTGAAAGTTGATCCATCTCGTTTCTTTACAAATCTGACGAGTTCGAAATTGTTTCAGTTGAAATTATAAGTGCAACAACATCGGTATCGTTTCTTCACAGTTGAAACGACATTAGTATCGTTATGCTTAAAAATGGCGTTTCGACCATCCACGGCCATCAACATACGTCCCACCGTACGTATGACGATGAAAATAGGTCATCGAGCCGGCTCAATCTCACTCGAATGACGCTATGGTAACGTTTGTTATTTCATAGTTGTTTTTCACACTCAGATTGTTTCCATAGAAATAGGGTATCTCCGTTGGCTCTTTCGGACCAGTCGAGAGCTACCAGCCCACTTGTTACGCTCTTTCGCTCGTCATACACATTTCAGATGTATGTGCAGCAATCGAGGATAGTCGAAATGTCGTTTCTAGGTATAACGATATAAATATCGTTATGTTTTTCAAGAAACGACTTTGAGGTCGTTTTAGATGTTTTACAAACTGAAACGTGTTAGAAGTCGTAAAATTATACAAGGAACGACATAAATATCGTTATGTACCAAGTAGTGAAATAACGTAACGTTGTCCATCTCGTTTCTTTACAAATATGACGAGTTCGAAGTCGTTTCAAGTGGAATAATAAGTACAACGACATCGGTATCGTTTCTTCACAGATGAAACGACATTAATGTCGTTATACCTAAAAATGACGTTTCGATCCTCCTTGACCGCTCCACATACCTCCGAAATGTGTATGACGATCGAAAGAGTATAACAAGTGGGCTGGTAGCTTTCGAATGGTCCGAAAGAGCCAACGGAGATACCTATTTCTATGGAAACAATCTGAGTGTGAAATACAACTATGAAATAACAAACGTTACCACATCATCGTTCGAGTGAGATTGAGCCGGCTCAATGACCTATTTTCATCGTCATACGTACGGTGGGACGTATGCCGTTGGTCGTTGATGGCCGAAACACCATTTTTAAGCATAATGATACTAATGTCGTTTCAACTGTGAAGAAACGATACCGATGTCGTTGCACTTATAATTTCAACTGAAACGATTTCTAACTCGTCAGATTTGTAAAGAAACGAGATGGATCAACTTTCAGAAACCATTACGCTAGAACAATATCAATGTCGTTTTGAACGAGAAGAAACGATAATCAGAGAAGCAGTGTGTATTTAACATTGAAACGATATAAATGTCGTTTTGTGTCTCGAAAACGATGTAGGAATTGTTTTAGTTTCAATTTTAACTGAAACGACTTATAAATCGTTATGTGAGATTATAACGATTTTCAAGTCGTTACTCAAGATCAGAGAAGCAGTGTGTATTTAACGTTGAAACGATATAAATGTCGTTTTGTGTCTCAGGAACGAGTTAGAAATCGTTTTAATATCAATTTTAACTGAAACGACTTTTATGTCGTTATTTCTGTTCATAACGAATTCTAAGTCGTTACGCAAAATCAAAGAAGCAGTGTGTATTTAACATTGAAACGATATTAATGTCGTTTTGTGTCCAAGAAACGAGTTAGAAATCGTTTTAGTATCAATTTTAACTGAAACAACCTTTAAGTCGTTATTTAGGTTCATAACGTGTTCTAAGTCGTTACGCAAAATCAGAGAAGCAGTGTGTATTTAACATTGAGACGATATGAATGTCGTTTTGTGTCTCGAAAACGATGTAGGAATCGTTTTAGTTTCAATTTTAACTGAAACGACTTATAAATCGTTATGTGAGATTATAACGATTTTCAAGTCGTTACTCAAGATCAGAGAAGCAGTGTGTATTTAACGTTGAAACGATATAAATGTCGTTTTGTGTCTCAGGAACGAGTTAGAAATCGTTTTAATATCAATTTTAATTGAAACGACTTTTATGTCGTTATTTCTGTTTATAACGAATTCTAAGTCGTTACGCAAAATTAGAGAAGCAGTGTGTATTTAACATTGAAACAATATTAATGTCGTTTTGTGTCCAAGAAACGAGTTAGAAATCGTTTTAGTATCAATTTTAACTGAAACGACCTTTAAGTCGTTATTTAGGTTCACAACGTGTTATAAGTCGTTACGCAAAATCAGAGAAGCAGTGTGTATTTAACATTGAGACGATATGAATGTCGTTTTGTGTCTCGAAAACGATGTAGGAATAATTTTAGTTTCAATTTTAACTGAAACGACTTATAAGTCGTTATGTGAGATTATAACGATTTCCAAGTCGTTACTCAAGATCAGAGAAGCAGTGTGTATTTAACGTTGGAACGATATTCATGTCGTTTTGTGTCTTGGGAATGAGGTCGAAATCGTTTTAGTATTAATTCTAACTGAAACGACTTAAAAGTCGTTATGTGTGGTCATAATGACTTCTAAGTCGTTACGCAAAATTAGAGAAGCAGTGTGTATTTAACATTGCAATGATATTAATGTCGTTTTGTGTCCAAAAAACGAGTTTTAAATTGTTTTAGTATCAATTTTAACTGAAACGATTTCGGAGTCATTATGTGTGGTCATCACGAGTTCTAAGTCGTTATGCAAATAAGGATAGCAGTGTGCATCTTACATTGCAACAACATGACAATGGAAGATAATGAAAAACATGTAGGCTTGTACATGTAAGACTCAACAACCTGACATGGACAATGTCTAAACTTTAAAGTTATAGAAGACAATGGAAAATATGCATATTGAAATTGTATTCAAACTCCAAAATAGCTGCTTCTCCAAAGCCAAAACAACCAAGTGACTACATAACGTTATAAAAATATAAAAAAATACGAGCAAAGCACAATCTACGGCTCAAAATCCCAAGCCAACAACTCTGCAGCTAGTTTCTTTCTCCATACTGGTACGTAATCCGGTCAAATTGTATTTACATCCATATTTGCGTGCAGAAATTCTATGAATTTGATAGCGAATATTCCACAATCGGATCTACAAAAAAGTTGTAAAATTTTTGTATTAATTTTCAACACTCAAGATAATATGGTACTACTAATTATGAAATTAGTCATTCTTACCCGTTCACTTGTTGGGGAACATCTTTTACGTTGACAAATTTGAAGTTCTCCGTACTATATTTGCTTTCACTGGTGACATGAGATTTTATTATCAACGGAATAAGCACCTGTAGAGGCAAAAGGTAAGCTTCCAACGCTGCTCGGCGAATGTGACCCTTCAGACTATCAAACATTAAAATGGCCCGTTCCTCAATGTCGACTTGAACTGCAAACCAATGGTCGCGGGTCCAACAAGGAAGATACAAATATTTACAGTCCCTCCAAGGTTTACCGAGCTCCGAAGTAGCCCCTCTCACATAATTCATTAGACTCTTACTACATTTGAGCTCTTTACTGGACTGTAATTGGCCATATGCATTGACAACAAATTGATAGAAATAAGTGTCCAATATGCAACAGTCTTGCCGAAACAGATTGGGAAATCTGGAAGCCCTTTCTCGTATCTGATATAGGGCCTCGTTCATAATCTACAAAAATAAACTAATAAATTCAAACTGAATTCTTTTGTGACATTATCGTAAAATCATTAAAGTTGGATTACTTACACTGTTATTAATCCAACCATCCTCTTTCGAAAGATCCATCAAACTTTTTGCTTGAATATCATAGAAGCGCAAAGGTATAATTTGGCTGTGCATACAACAAAATCAACACGAAGTTATATTTAGGTAATACTATCATTACTTTCACATGTACTTACAACTATATGTAATAATTTACCACGAAGGTGTAGTTTCCATCCATTTGCAAAAATCCTCAACCTTGCTGGGATCTACTTCTCGATAAGGATCGTAAACATTGATGTCCGACAATTTTCTCCTCTTCGTCGGGTCAATGTACGGAGAACACAGTAAGCGCGCTTTTCTCTTCAGACAATACCCTCATCCTTTCAATGGATCGGATCCCGCCTCATCAATTTCTACAACGTCCCCTATATGTTGCAAATAACAACAATTAGAAGTGGAAAATCTATTTCATTTGGATATAAAGATGTAAAACTTAACTTTGAATTCATTTTTACATACCTTGCGTGGATTCATTTGTATCTACATCATGCTTTTCAGGCATCACAAAATCAGCAATCCCTTTCTCCACGTCGGGACGCTCGTCCTCTAATATTATTTCTTTTCCAACACTCTCCTTGATCATTTTTTCATTTTCTTGCTCATCTATATCATTCCCAGATCCAGCTTCCTTTTCCAAGTCCTTACCTTCTACATTTTTGCCTCTAACCTCCTCCTCTAACTTTGGGTCCTCCTCACGCGCTTCTACATTTGTTTCAGCGGCAGGCACATCTCTCACATCATCAAATCCAGGCTCAGTTTCCAACTCCTTCCCTCCTACATTTTTTCCTCTAACCTCCTCCTCTAACTTTGAATCCTCTTCAGGCAGATCACCTTTCTTTCAACAGCATGCACATCTGTCACATGATCAAACCCAACCTCCTTTTCCAACTCATCCTTCGGTTTATTTTCTGGTACATAAGCTGTGCTACTAGTGGCACCATCAAATGCACTAGTTGCTGGATGGAACCGACCCGTCACAGCCAATTCAACTAACCTATCAACCTTTTTCTCCACCCGATCAAATCGAGTCGATATAACTGCTTGTAGCCTTCCCTCAAGTTTTTCAATTTCCGTTCTCAATAAATCCTCTATGTTGATCTCAAAACCACGTTGTGGTGGTTGAGCTGCTCTAGGAGACTCTTCGTGGTATGCATGCCGTGGCTCGGCATCTTGCTCAGCCTCGTCTCCTTCGGAATGATATGAAACACTCTCATCTTCTTCCACGATTGATTTCAACTCTTTCCAATAGGCCTCTTCGAGTTCAGCTTCGGTGGGAATCAACGTGGAATTAACCTCCAACTGCAAATATTAAAAGGTACAAGTCATTAGTCATTCATGAAGCTAATTCCACAATTTGTTCCCATTAAACTTAATAAAGACAATTTTACCTCCTTCGAATTCAACACATTCTCAATGGCAGCAGACGTTAACCTCTTCGGCATTTCCCAAGCGACCATTCTTGGTATTATATCTGGATATTTCATACCAAACTTCATTCCCAAAGTTGGGATCGCTTCAAATGCCCAAATCTATTGCAAAACAAACATTTATATTATCTCACAACACAAATTTATATATATAAAAAAAAATATGAGTCAAGTGTATTATTTGTTCATACCATCGTAGCCCACAGGACGTACGCCAAGATTACGATCAATCCTAACTTATACTTATCGCTCTTTCTTTTCTTGCAAATTACAAATGCATTGTAAGCATCTCCCTTCGTTATCTTCCCCCCACTATTCCTAAAATACTCTTTCACGATCCGACACTCTTCCCCCAAGGTCTTATCTACGTCGTTCTCATCACCCGCATTTAAGCCGGTAACTAAAATAAATTCTTCCAACCCAAATTTTGTATTTTTCTCTCCTATCTTAAACCAAACTTCTTTTTTGTTGGTCCTTAACTTTCGCAATAATAACTGATGTATAACTTGTGAAGCCAACTTTATGTCCTTCAACCTAAGGAGAGATCCAAAGCAGCTTTCACTAAGTTTGTTTTTGTAATTTGTATCGAGCTTCTCATACACATCTCGCACTATTTGCAATCTGCATCTCGTCGTAATCGTAGCATCTACTTGAAGAATCTTCTCCATAGCACTGCAAATTATAAAATATGTACTAATATTAGAACTGATTATAGTAAAGCACATAATAACAAATATAAAAACTAGAAATATTAAAACAAGCTACCTAGTTCTTCTAGTTTTTCTTGTAGTAGAAATTTTTTTGAATATGAAATTTAATAGCATGTATTATCATTGCTAACAACAAAGTATATTTTATTTGATATTCACTTATTAGGCGTTCTTAGCTTATGTGCTTTATAGAACTTGTAAGTACAATGCATTATAAATTGTGTATAATGATGAATATATATTTCTTGTTTGAAAGATCAACGTGAACTCAAGAAAGCTCTTAGAAGAAGAATAGGCAAAAAAAATGACATTACTTGATATTGCAAATATTTCATCTGATGCAACTTTATTTGTAGACTTACTTTCAAATGTATTGACAAATTCAGAGCCTTGACTTTGTATTTATTTAGAATGAACCTCAACTTAGTGATGTTGCTTCAATAGATTAGTTCAAGTGGAATGACAATCATGAAAATAAAGTTAAAATGATCTATAATTCAATGGTGTAAGACATTTGAAGAGCGGTGTACTCAACAATGCAAATCAAAATTTGGATCGAGGAGAGCAGAACGCCAAACATTCAAAGAAACTTTTGTGTACAGATAATACAATTTTCATACAAAGGGGCAAATGAATATGTTCAAGTAAGAGATGTACTAAATTAAAGGTATAAACAAGAGCAATGAGCAGATTACATCTCTTCATCTTATCAGTCTTTAGCATTTAACTAGACATAAGATCGAGTTTAATTTTTCAATCTAGAAGATCTTTGACAATGTCTGTGATGGTAGAAAACTGGTTTGTGGTATGATGCATGACAATCTCTAGTTGGATGCAACCTAGCAGCAAATCTAAGGGTATGGTGCAGTTCAAAACATTTTAACTGAACAAACTAGTCGAACTAATTGCCAGGGATGAACAAATTCTTAGGAATATGATCTCCATCACAAGAATGTAGAAAATAGTTTGTCTACGTGAATTTCCACATTATTTTGGTTCGAGATGCAGAGTTCATAGGACACTTTTGGCAATGTCTTAGAATGTATATAATCAGCTCGATTAAAAAAAAAAACAAAAAAAAAAACCCTATTTTCAGTTGCTAATTAATCACCCAACATCCAACAAAAAATAGTATCAAAACTTCAACAATTCATCATCAAGTCATAAATTAGTATACTTATACAAATATATCTGTTCATAGCAGAGAAAAATTTGAGAGGGGCGACAAACCTGTGAGTGGGAGATGGAGAGGCGAAAAATTTGTTGTAGATAATCTTGTAAGAATCTTGAACTTTTGAAGTGGAAGGAAAACAGATGGTGAGTTCAAATGTCGAAGATGATGAATTTGAAAGAGAAGAAGATTTTTAATTTGGAGAAGAAGAAGTTTGGAGCCAAGGGAGGTTTTCACGTGATGAATGGTAAAAAATCCCCAATTCTTTCTTCCTTCATTTTCATTTTAGAGGATAGGGTAAAAGGGTCTTTTGATAGTTTTAAATATTTAAGATTTCTTTTATTTTGTTATTTTCGATCAAAGGCCTTTTGAACAAATATGATTTTAGTGGTGGCCATTCCAACTTATTTTCCCGAATTTTATCTCGCATATTTTAAATCTATAAAGATAGTGACTTTTAAAAAATTGATTTTGGTTTGCGAAATATATTTCCAGAAACATCTGTTTGGTTTTGCTTGAATTCCTTCAAACGTGCCCACCAACAGAAAGAAGAATCAAAACAATAGCCATGGCTCTTTGGATGGAGGCGGGTTCGGAACCTAAAACCCATGATGAAATAGCTGACCTTGAAGCCATATCTGCCCTAAAAGAGTCTGCTGCTATTGAATTTAAGGTTTCCTTAATGGCTTCCCTTTTGCAATTATTGATTTTATTTTAAATCTTTCATTATTCTTTCTGCTTAATTTGGTTTAGTTTCATCTTTATGCTGGGACAAATGGCTTTCTTTTTTGGCCTTTTGAGTGATTCAACAGAAAATTTGCAGAATATGATGATTTTATATTATTAATTTTACTATGATGTTTGCATGTCTGATGATATACGTTAAATAAACTTGGTCAAAATTCGATCTTTTATTGCATTATCAGTGAAGATTCAATCTCTGAATGGAAAAATCCTTCACTATTTCTCCGACCCATATGCATATGCGTACTTAGTACACTGGTCCAACCTTTGAACTCAATGACAAGAGAAGGATTTGTAAGATGTTTCTTGATGTTTACGAGATTGTCTATTGATACCTGAAATTTGTTTTGCTTTTGTTATAGTCCTGTTTGCATAAGTAAGGGAAACGATGTTTTTTGAGCAAGCTCAAAAATGATTATAAAGAAGATTTATTGTTGTTCTGTCCGCTTTTAGGAAAAGGGTAATGAGTATGTGAAAAGGGGCAAAAAGCACTATTTGGATGCTATTGATTGTTACAACAGAGCTATAAATCAGAAGGCTTTAAGCAATTCAGAGAATTCAATTGTTTATTCAAATAGAGCTCATGTCAATCTGCTCCTGGGAAATTACAGACGCGCTTTCCAGGATGCTGAGGAGGCAATCAGACTCTGTCCAACAAATGTTAAGGTTGTAATTTTGTGTTAAATATCTTGGTCATAAGGTGAATTATTATTTTTCTATATCATTAACAGCTATACTCCATTTTAGGCACTTTACAGAGCAGTCAAAGCATCACTGTCACTGGATTTGTTGAATGAAGCGAAGTCATACTGTGAAAAAGGACTAGAGCAATCACCTGATAACGAAGAATTGAAGAAGCTATCCAAGCAAATTGATCTAAAGCAAGCAGTACATGAACAGAGCCTAGCTGAAATTTCCAAGGCTGTGGAAGCAGCCAAGGTTAAAAATTTATGGTGTTAAGCAAAACTCAAGTTCTTAAATATTGGGTGTGCTTTTTACCTTTTAGTTTGAATACATGCAGGGCCTTGTCTCCGCCTTTGAGCATAGAGGACTACGAATTGGGAAGGCAATGTATCAAGAACTCACTGGACTTAAAAAACCAAAGCTAGACAAAAACAATATTCTTCATTGGCCTGTTATCCTTCTTTATGCAGAGGTTATGTCCAGTGACATCATTGAGGATTTTTGTGAGACTGACATGTTTTCAGCTCATCTTGACATGATATCCTTGGGCCACCGTTTTCTCTTCCCCCCTTCCCCTCCCAATGTACAGGCTCCATTTCTTCGTGATTATATTCAGTATTCAAGTTAATTCTTGTGATCCTTAGCTTCCAAACATGTTCTCAGATGATTGCCTTCCTTTGTCCTGGGATACAGGAAAAGCTTACACTCGTGGCGCTATTGAGTTGTACTATGAGGTATGCATTTTTCTGTGACTTCTTGATTTTTGCGTTGGTAATTCTTATTTGGGCTATTGGTTTTGCAAAAAAGGGGGTCGTGAATGGTTCTACTTGAAAATCTTTATGGTAATTGTTTAACACAATCTTAACCATTAGGAAGAGTTTCTTTGAGAAGTCAGCATACCGACTCGCTTTCATCCTTTCCCGTTCGTAGTCCAAAATTTTCCTTTATTTCTTCTTTTGTCTTTCATTATAAATTTTTCTATACTAAGCATTCATCTTAGATTCAATCGGATTCAAGAATCAATTGTCGAAACATCTACAAGAGTTGGCTGTTCATTTATGATGTTTGAGGATCATAGTGTTGCGTTACTTAGTATTATGCTTCCTGTTTTATGATTTATTCGATTAGGGAATTTTAACAATCTATGAAGTTCATGCAACAGTTTTTGGCGCATGGCACTGAGATTTATTTTTTATTTTTTATTTTTATTTTTTTGGGTTCAAATACAAAACAGAGTGCTAGATTGTTGATCAAATATTTGTTTGAAATATTTAGCATCTCACCTAATTAAGATTCCTTCCAAAAATAGAAGAAGAAAAAACCCAAAAGATGGTGAACATAAATAAATAAAAGTGAAACAGAAATGGACTTTCTATGCTGGAATTATTTGAGTGTTTTTTGAGAGGTTTTATCACAGAGTTGAGTCTATAGCTAAAATGAATGCTGTGATTGTGTACGCCCTGTAATAATGATTAGGTTGTATAAAGTGGAAGAGCAGATACAAGATGGTGTACCTTGATTTTGGGGCGACGCCTTCTCAGGAGTAAAGTTTAGTGAAGAAGTGGGTATGAGTCCGTCCTGTAAGCACGTTTGTTCACATAATGAACAAGTGGGATATTCCCCTATTGTAACCTGGAGAACAAATCAGCACACAGAATATCTGCTTCTTGTTGTGATGCTCACTCTGACTTGCGGATCATGAGGGGGGCAGCTTTATTTATTAATGACAGGATGTATGACACTGTCAAAATAGAAGCCTCAGGATTGAACCAGATCAGTCTTACATTGTTTAAGGAAGACACACGTCTTAAGAAGACCAGATGTAATCTCAATCCCCATGGAAGATCTGAATTGTTCCATTCTTTTTGGTTTTACATTCTCTTCCAACAGAGTTGAATTACCACTAGAAAGGTTTGCTGGTTTGATGTAGTCAACGACTCCTTAGGGACTAAGGTTGGAAGTTATAAACATAGCATGACAGATAAAATCGAAGATATTAATGTATTGGAAGTTCAGGCTGGAAGGTTCTTCACTTGGTTTTTGGAAAAGGTCGATGAGTATAGGAGTTGGAGATGTGGAGATTGTTATTTATTTACTTCAAAGAGTCTGGACACGAAATTTATTACCATTTGTTCTTTAGACAAATAAATCCTCTAAAAAATCTTAACATACTGTAGATGGTGCTCTATATGACGTACTTGAAAGCTTGCATCCATTTAATTGTTTGTACCATCCACTTATGTTGGAAGCTTAATTGATTGTTACTTTGAATCTTGAAATCCACATTGGCTTGCATTTCTTGGTGACAAAAATCTTGATTCAACAGGCTGGTTCTGGAGTTTGTTTATCCAATAACAAAATCATCCAATATCTCTTAGAAGGTACAGCTGCTTCTCATCTGGAAAACGATGACAGTGAAGATAAAGATGTCGTTTCTGGTTCAGTCGTTAGAGGTAAGTTTTCGTGCATCCAACAATGACGAGTTTCTTATCTAGAATTCAATATTTCTTTTATCAAGATAAGACGAATCACTTGGAAATTAGGCCCCTGTTTGGTTTTGCTAAAAATTAGACTTTTAGTATATTTTGATAAAAGTTTATGAAATATATGATTGAAAAGTCGATAAAAGCTGTGAATCTCATGAAAAGTGGGGTTAAGATTAATTGTTGACTTTGACTTCAATTTTTATCTACTTTTTTTAGTTGAACCAAACAGGGGTTAGGTGTTAATCCTCTAGATTAGCTTTACTGTAGAAGTAAAATCATTTGGATGGCAGTTGAATAAACTACGAACATCTAATCTGCATTGAAGAACGGCAAATTAGTTTCTCTCTTCTTTAGCTCTGTACAGAACTGTATTGCAAGAGTACTTGATTGGATGCCTAAATTCAATTAAACTGAAGAATGGGGAAATGTTACTTTCTTCGCAATTGAGTCCACCAACTGGTAGGAAATCTTGAGGTCATTGGTTCTGGTGGACATTAGTATTCTGATCATTTACAATGAGGCTGAAAGTCCCTAACATCTGAGCTAAAACAACTTGGTTCAGAGGAGGAATTCTTTGCTCTTGGTTTTAATCTCGTAGACCAATGACACATGATTTGAGCTACGTAATATGCTAACACTGGTTATTTCTAATGCGAAGTAATTGTCTGAGAATCTGAGGGCCTAAATTACTGCTTTTATTCGTACAATGACGTGTTTGGATTTACTTATTTTTTCATCATATAATCTGTTGCTAAAATATATGTCGATGAATGTATGTAACATGGGATATGTCGTAAACCTCTAGTAAGATTTCAAATTACACTCTCATGTATCTGTTTGAGTAATTTTTCCTTGATCTCTTCACTGATTGATTCAGGCACTGATTCTAAGTGGGTTAGAGTCAACGAGAAGAGAACACTTCATGATGTTCTAAAAGATCCTAATATGATTATTCCTGGAATTCCTGGTATGTTAATTTCATTCGAGACAATTGCTGCTTGTTTCATTTTGATTCTGAGAAGTGCTTATTTGAAAAGTGTGATTTTGGTGAAGGTGTGGTTAAAAAGTAGGGAAAAGTTATGGGGAAATGTGAAATTTATTTTTTTGGGGAATGTGTCGTTGAAAATGAGCGTGGGAGACAATTGACTGTCGAATAATCAATATCAAACAAGGGCGTAGTTTGTCTTAAAATTTTTATCCATTTCAAGGCAATCCTACTGCATTGTGTCTCAAATCTTTATTTTACATTGCGTTGGTTGCAGTATTTTTTGCTGTTTCTAGGAAATCCAGCTTCTACAAAGATTTCAAATCTGGAAATTGGGCTCCGCCAGAGATTGCATGATCAAGACGCTAGGTAGTAACGCATGCATTTTGTCGAGGCAACCTGGATGACGTGGTTAGTGCAGTTGGTCGTCTGTGTATTAGCAATTAGATTAATTGACGAGTGACTATTTTTTCCAACATTTTTATTACATAAAAGTTTTTACAATTTCATCTCGTTTATCATACCTTGTCTTTATTAATGCACGTGAATTGTAGCATGTATGCTCAATGAGTCGAGTAGTTCTTACTTGTGCGACACACTTTCTGAGAGAATAAAGGCACACATTATAAAATGAGCCGTGTATATGTTTAGGTGATATAATATACAAGAGTGGGAATTTTGATTCTTGATTATGGTTAGGCAACAAGCATGAAAACTGGAATTTTACCAATTTGTTTCTAATCAGATTAACTGACTGAAATCATTGATGTCTTCACTATTGCCTAAATGTTTTCTTGTGTCAGCAAGCAGAAATGAAATGTTCAACAAACCAAACCTTGTTCCGTGTCAACATTTGTTGTCGATGTTGCCACTAACCTGGATATTATGGGAGTCAATAGGTCGAGGTTTTATTTTATTTTTTGACCCAACTGAAGAACTTGTGCAAAAGAAACTCTAGAAACATTAGAAGCCTTGTATTTCTGGTTATTTAAGCAGTCGCAGTCATTGAATTTGATCTGTAACATGTCCTTTTTGCTGCACACTGGTGAATAGGTTACAAAGGAAAAACCTATAAAATCATTGACATTGTAGGACAAGAAGAGACAAGTGTAGGAGGATTAACCTCCGGGAGAGCCATTCAAGATTTGCCGCACAAGGCATTGGAACATCTGTCCCAGCAATCCTCTCAACAGGTGCATCAAGATAATCCAAGTATTCTTCAACATCTCATGCACTGAAGAAATGAATATACTTAATAAGTACGAAAGACGAAAAAGGGGACAATCTCAATGACTAAAGAGAGGTGCAGTATCGTAAAAAGGTACCATATTTCTGCACCGATACCATGTTGGGCAAACCCTTCTTCGACAGTCACAAGCCTATTGGTTTTTTTGACAGAATCATATATCGTCAATCTATCAAGAGGGCGGATGGAGCGAAGAGTTATCACCCGCAGATAAAAAAAATATGAACTAAAATAACAAAAAACTATTTTTCTTTGTCATCGTGTATAAACATTCTCCGAGTTACCTCAGTACTGATTCCATCCTTTGCGAGAATCTCGGCAGCCTAAATATTATTATACGAAAGGGTAGAACATGCATATTTATTCATACAAATATGATGACAAACCTGAAGAGCATAGCCAACCATTTTTGAGAAAGCAGCGATTGTCACATCCTTTCCTTCTCAGAAAGCAGCGATGGTCACATCCTTTCCTTCTCGTTCTATATAGGAGAGAAATGACAAACTTATACACTGCAAGCATAAAAAACAATATATAATTTAGAGTAAATACCTTGGCTTTCCCAATTGGAACACAGAAACTAGAATCAAGAGTTTCTACTGAAACAGGAAATGATTCGCCATACCTATGATAAAAACCACAAGAGTAACTAACACAAAAATAGGTTTATGCTGAAAAATCATTCGTATAAAAATGGAACATTGCTGCTTACAGCAATTCGTTTTCCAGAGACAACAGCATCTGGATCCCTTATAGCAGCTTTTAGGAGGCCATGAGCATCCTCTGATGAATATGGAGGCATGGAGCTAGTACTTTTAACCCTTGACAAGAGGCATATCATGCTGCATAGCACTGCAAATGTCAAAACAAGGCTATAAGAAGAATCCACAGTCGAGATAATGCATTCATTCTCTCTCGTTTGAAAAATAGAATCCATTTTTCCAATCGAAAGAAGGCCTCTTGTGTTAGAATTTTCGCCATTAGAAACTAGAAATGAAATCGTGTATGTTAAGGTATAAATCTCACACCAGTTAATAATCTAAATATAAATTAACTTATAAGAGTTTGAGCTACTCCTCTTAATAAAGTTGATCGTTTCTTAATATGATGTGAGAGATCAATAAGCTTCAACTAGTCATTCGATTCAATAAAGACTCAAATAAGCACACAGATTTAAGATTGATATACTCAAATGAGTCATTATCTTATTGGGACATGTTAAGGGATAAATTTTATATCGATTAAAAACCGAAATATAAATAGATTTATAAGAGTTTGAAATACTCCTTTTGATAAAATTGACATTTTAAGATGAAACCTCAAGCCTTAATAGTGTAGTTGTAAGGACGCTACTCTATCCCACTCGACCTTCATCTTCTACGCTGTAACAAAGAGCCTTGCTTATACACAGGCACATAGAAATCTAAATGGAATCCTATAGTAACCTTGCTTAAACAAGAAGATGGCATTAAGAGAACTCGTACGTGGGAATGTTAAGCGCCCACACCAGCGGCAGCACCATTAGGACCTCTAAAAACAATAGGCACTGATATCTGACCAGTGGACATGTCGTTTGATTTTGCTGCAGAATTTATAATATGATCAATGGCTAGCAACAGATGAAGATGAACACGCTCAGGTTACATGTGACAGCATCAAATTGTGAACCCAGTCATTTCTATTTAAAGGCAAAATATTTCACTTGCCAACAATAACGTCCAATCCCACTCAAGTAAACATAGAGACGAGGATTAGCTAAAGACCTGCAATGAGAAGTTAATCGTCATGAACTCGACTACAGGCTTCAGGCCATAGTATCCCAGCAAAGCCAGCCTACAAAATATCATATTGATGAGCATGGAAAAGATTTCCTACCAAAATCTAACAAATCATGGTACACAGTATGATAAAGAAGATTTCGACATTCTTTTCTTATTTAATACTGTTTAATCATATCAAATCTTCTGAGCCAAACGTGTTATAAAGTAGAGGGCAAAAACCAACCTCGGTAATTGGTGTATCGAAAACCCTTTCAGGACCATACTTTTCTGGAGCCCCTTGGTGATCTGGAAGGCAATGCAGTGACTCAAAAACTGATTACTAAAAGAACATAAAAGTGCGAACGAAATCCCATATTAACTAGACAATTTATAACGAAATTTCTGAATATGTCAATTTTTGGGATTAAACATTGGCCAACGCTCACCTTATATGCACCTTGATATTCACCAACCTGTACAAGAGCACATAATAAGTCCTAAAAAAAAAAAAAAAATGTTGCGGCAAGTAAAAAGATTAAATGAACCAGGTCAACATTTGTACAATTACCTCTTCATCCATCAAAAACACTCTGGGATCAGCAGACATTTCTTCATCAAGTGCTGAATTTAAAGCATCACGCGCTGTCATCTGTGCAAAAATGGTGCAACCAATTGCATTAATCCCTTAAAAAGGCATTTTTGTACGTATACTCAGTCAGAAATGTGGATGTGTGGTGGTTTTAAAATAGATAAAGTGAACACATATTACCTTTTTCCTGTTAGAAAAATATGCCTGGGACGCAACTACTCGAATTCCTTGCTCCAAAGTCTCTCAATAGAAAGCATAAAAAATATCTTCAAGTCACATAAAAATCTAAAAAAGTGTAAAATTCAAAATAATTAATTCAAACAATCTGCATTTACCAGAGCAGGAATGCCTTTACAGGATGATATCATGTGGTTCAAATAATTAAAAAAAAGGTTGAACCCCAACCTTAAGGGCCCCCACCGACCCTGCCCTGGGCCATCGTGGAGGAGGTAAATCGCAGGATGTGCCTCCCAGGAGCCAGGGTGAAGAGCTCATGGATAGGCCAAGGCTGTTAACCCATTTGGTAACTCCCGCTTGCAACAAAGCCAATTCCACCTTGCGGGGAATCGAACTCTGCACACTGCCGCGCTGAGCCCTATCCACCCTCCCCTTTGCCACTGGGAGATATGCCCTGGGGGCAAAACTGTGTAGGGTAAACTTTTTAAAGTGACTGGCCCCACCGCACTGCGGCCCCATACTCCAGAAACCCCACCTCCGGCCTGGCCCTACGGGTTAGTATACACCGCTTGGCCCTACACGTATGGAGGGATTTTTTGGAGAGGCACAGTACCACCATGCTGGTAAGAGGACGGTTCAAATAATTAATTGGGATGACTGGTAGAGAGAGGATGACACCCGCTATGTCGGGTAACGCTTATCATAATATGGCGACTCCCATAGTGTCAGCTCGACCGACGCTACCTTCGCTTGCTCGTAAGGTGCAGACAGCTTTGACATGTTAGGTGATGCTAGTCATATTAGAATGCTAATTGCTATGCTAGTTCGACTCCCGTCACGCGCGGAGCAATCGCCGTCTACCCGAACAACATTGGAATCAGTCAACAACCATCGAACGATCATCATTAAACCCACTACCTGGGTAACTGAATAAATGGAAAAAACCGTCTGAGGAGTGGGCAGGTTTCATGAGGACACGTGGATGACAATTGTCCGGCGATTATGTGATGCTAGACTGATGGGGACACGTGGATGGCAACTGTCCAGTTGTTACGTGATGCCAGACGCCTATAAATAGCTTATGGATGTATCACGGGGTTCTTTCTTTTTTCAGGAAAAAATACTTTCCTCTGTAACTATTGCAATTCTTTATCTAAAAACGATTACTGATTCTCACACCGGAGATAAAATGGGAGAGTGAGCCCCCAGCCTCTTTTTGCAGCATCACCAGAGGACAAGAGACCACTCTTTCATAAAAAAGACACGAGTTACACCAGAACTATTTCACGGAGGCCACTCTTCGCCTTATAATTCCCAACAGTTGTCTTCTTTTCAATTTACCAGATTTACACCAACGGTACAAAAGATCATATAGAAGTAAAATCAGATCAAATCATATTCTGGACAGAGAATTCTGTATACGTTATGGTACAATTATATATATATAGCAGTTACCAGTAAATAGAGCTAACAAGATGTTAAAAGAATGTTGCTGAGTGTGAAACTATACATAAATGAATAGTACGAATAGAGAGAGAGTGGGTAGACCTGGTTGTTTGTGTATTATTGCGGGAATTCTGTTGGAGAAGAAGATAATTGGAATTTGACTGTCAGGGTGCTATATTTGTTACGAACGCATTTTTGTGCTATTTATATTAATTTTTCAAAGTTACCGAACTGGCCCAGGCCCAAATCTTCAATCCTATTTGACATCTCTTTTCTTGGGTTTTGTTAGGGTTTTTCTCCCATTAGATTAGACCGTGACAGAGAGTGGTTCAGATTCACGTTTCACTTACCAGAAAGGAAATTATCGGATAATCAATGGATTCTTCTTCTCTTAACTCCCCTGAATTGCAGCAATTTATCAGTGTAAGAACTTCGAAAACTATGTATTCGTTTATTTATTATGTTGTGCTCCATACTGCTAAAATTTCCAAACGAACTCGATGTTATAATGTTATCGAGCTTGTTCAAATAATTTATGCATCTACTGGAAGCATTCAAATGCATTGTTTGCCTGTGGTTTGGTGATGGGGATTGTCTTCTTCGGCCTTGAATATTTCTTTTATGCAGTTTCAGGAATATAAATCCAAATTTCCATGATGGGTTCACTCATTGCCAGTTCAATGAGGAAATTCTATAGCTGTCCCTTATTACTTGTTTTATTTCACTTTCAAGTTGTTATTTACATATCAGCTTTTGGGATAAATTGAGGTTAAAACCTTTTTTTTTTTTTTAATGCTGCCCTAATGTCTGAAACTATTTTCTGCTTTGGAGGGAGAAGAACATTTCTTCCAATTATGAAAATTGAATTATGGAGGTGGAGGAGATGTAGGGACATTTGAATATGGAAGAAGACAAGAAGTTAACTAGATATCTTAGACCTTTTGTCCCTTATTCTTCTTTCTTCTTCTTCCTCTTTATTTATTTATTTCAAAAATAAAAATGGCTTTCTTAACAATCTGAAAAATGAAGTGTTCACTTTGGCTTATTCATGCCTATGCTGGTTTAGATGCTAGAAGCCCATGTGCCTCGCAGTTGTCATTTTGGTATTAGTGCTCGAGTAGATGTCTATGGCATGTTTCATGAAGATTTTTTGAGAATAGATTTTGTGAAAAGTGACTTTTTTGAAAAATGTGTGGTTAAATGTAGCCAAAAATTGTTGGTTTACGTGCAAACTTATTGTATTGGGAGAATGCAAGCCTAATCTTCTGCCCACTCGGGGCAGGATAAAAACTTCCTACTGCTGGTAAAAGAACCTTAATTATTGTTCCTTAAAATAGTCATAAATTCAGAGAACATAATTAAGGTTCATTAAATTTCTCTTGCTACATCAGTGGTGAGAAGTTTTTATCGTGCCCTCAGTGGGCAGGAGATCAATTCTTTGAAAGAATGTGTGACTGAAATGAATTTGGGGAAAAAATAAATTTTAAAGAATTTTTAACAAACAGAGGCTTAATTTAAAGAGTGGAAACTTAGAGAATCCAAAAGCTGCTGCATATTTAGACAAAAATATGGTTTCAATTTTATACATATTAGATGGCATGTTATGTGGACATTGGGCATCTGGTAGATTACTGTTTTGTTTTGTGCATAACTTTGTAAAACCATATGTGATAAATTCAGATTTTTATGGGGGATAAAGGGTCTTATGTTCAACGAAGCAGTACTCTTGTCCATTGTTTTTTCATGTGGCATTCTAATTATTGCCATACCCAGTCTTCATTTGAATCAGTCAGAACATCTCTTTCCAATAAACCCTCTTAGTATCCAAATAAGCTTCGTCTATAGTTTATGTCATTTGTTGACTCGTCAAAGCTTTGGCATGTAAGATCCCGTCTTTCTGACTTTTGACAATGATATCTGAATCTTTACAGCAAGAAAAGGAGAAGGCTATGGTTAATGAAATGATTGCGAAGCTTACAACTGTTTGCTGGGACAAATGCATCACAGGCACTCCTGGGAGCAAGTTCAGTTCTAGCGAGTCGTCTTGTCTCACCAACTGTGCTCAACGTTACATGGATATGAGTCTCATCATCATGAAACGCTTCCAGAACATGCAGTGAAATTAAATCTGTGTCTCTGAGTGACTTTTCTTGATCTCTAAAGCTTATTCTTAGTAACCTTTTTGCTACTTCTACCAAGTGAGATGTTGGTTATATTTTTGCTAGTAATGTTATGAATTGATAATTTCCTGGCGAACCAAAAGGGCTGCAACTTACAAGTTTTTGCCTTCAATGCATTGCTAAATAATACTGCAAAGAAATTAGTATCGTGGATAAAATGTAGTAATTTATCGTATGGCTGTACAGAAGGCATATCTTGAAAGATAACAGAAATTTGCCACGAATATGAATGCAGTCGGCTGAGCACGGGCATCATGTTAGACAGACAATTTATAACCTGTTTTGAGCAGTGAACTGGAAAAGGTGAAGGGTCGAGGATTAAATAGCTTAATCTGGGTTGCATTAGAGTCAAATGCAAGGTCACAATTAATCGAGTTCTAGCCAAGAATCATTTTGATATTTTGACGTTCGATGGCATTTAATTGGGACATAGAAATTGCACTTTTGGACATAAAAATTATATTAAATTTTGAATACTAAATCCGTTGATTCCACGACACGAAAATAACTCAAGAGTTGAGCTTTGGGTTTAGTTTCTGATGACTAACACATTTTTTAAACTTCTAAAATTCATTTTCATGCATAAACTTTATTAACTTTTCAACATTGCATTCTTAAATTTTATTAAAATTTACTAAAAAATTAAATTTTTTTAATGAATCGACTGGGGATAATATTTAGTGACCAACACAAGTTTTAAACTGCCCAGTCCATTTTATCTCCAAACAGAAATTGGACGAGCAGCCCCAAAATTTATGAGGCTTTCAAACTGCAGTTATTAATAAAAAAAGGTCCTACCGGGAGTCGAACCCAGGTCGCTGGATTCAAAGTCCAGAGTGCTAACCACTACACCATAGAACCTTATTTACAACAAATGTGTAGATAGAAACCCTAATTATTCATAGACGACTTAGTTGACTACCAACCATCTCTTAAAATCTGTTCTTTGCCTGTTGTTAATATATTTATAATATATTAACCTTTATAATATATTAACTATCACGTAAAGTGAGAATCATTTTTAAAAAGATTTTAACCCTACTATTATTCAATTATTTCAATAACACATTAATTTTCTTTTTTTAATATGTATTTAATTCATTTAACAATTTAGTTACCGTTAATGTACAAATACATTTGACAGATTCATTTCGCCTGTGTGCTCGTATTAATGTATGAATTCCCTATTATTAATTCTCAATTAATTAACATTTAAAGTCATTTAATTAATATTCATCTTCATATATGTATTTTAGTATTATTCATTATAATTATAAGTCAATTTGAATTTCACATTCGAGAATGTATTTCATCATTTACGTTCATGTATGCTAATTAAAATCCAATTTCATTTAATTGGAGATTAAATAAATGATTTAACATTCATTATCACGTATATATTCTTTGGTATTAATTTTAAATTAATTAACATTGACACATCTTCCAATATTACTTTTACAACGCTTATAAAGGATTTTATAATAACATGCAATGAACGTTCAATGTTGACTAGTATTATATAAGTCTCTAATAGAATTGATTTATTTTATTTTTGGTGATTGAAGGATTGAGATACTGAACATCATTTCCTAGTTTAGAGGTAAAATGGTTGGGTACCCGGTCCAATTCGTGTCCTATACTATGAGTAATGTTGTTTATCGTTAGTAGTGATAATGAATTGCATTATTCCCACTATATCAAATATCAAATGAATTTGAGATAAACATGTCTCGCACAGCTTCACATTTTCTCTAGAATTCAAGCACACAATTCAAATAAACAATAAGATTGAGTTACTCAAAAAGCGTTTTCTAGTATCGAGTAAAATTTCACTCTCACAGTTACTATTTGCATTATCTTGTATTCAAGAAGGATATTGTAACATAATTATGTGATTAAAGTTAATTTTGTGTTGTTTCTATTTTGTTTATTTTATTGATATGTTATTACGTGTTGAAAAGATAACGTCTACATATGGGTATTGTCTAATATTTCAAACACTATATTTTCATCCATTACAGCTGGCATCGACCAACTTTGCGATACAGATGGACATGAAGAAGAATGCGAGCAGTGGAAATGCAAAAGAGCATAGCAAAGATTCCCAATCCAGCCTTAGGGAGGAAAAAGCATTTTGGCTTGTAATAGAATTTTAACAATCTTGAGTCTTGATGTGACTGGCTTTGATCTGATAATTCCACTATCCCATTTTCTAGCAAAAAAGGATTCCTATCAAGCTGTTATTATTACATGGGTTTGCCTTGTTTTTTCTTTACGTGTATTTGTTGCTCTTTGTGCATTGTGGTAAGGTTAATTATTGGTAAGTTGCTTCTTCTTTACATGTTTGACTAAGCTTAAGAAATTTACTTATAAGTTTTTGCAGAGACAAGTTATAAGGACTAATAGTGTGAGATTCATGACATTTCTTTTATCAATTTTCCTCACATTAAGCGTTTTTACTTGGTTCTTCTATGACTTATTGTGCAAGGACTATAAGAATATATCTAAGAGACTCTTTAAATATGAGATGCTCTCTATTTCAAGGGTTGAATCTTTAATTTATAGTTTTTTTTTTTTTAAAATTCAACCCTTAAAATCATACTCCAAAATTTCTTTAAATTAACATTTTAATTTAAAAAGTGGATTTGGAGAGCTAAACAAAACTCTATAATTATATGCATTCAAAATATTTCAATTTTTAATATAAAAAAATATATATAATAATTTTAAAAAAAGTTAGTTAAAATAAAAGATAAAGGAAAATAATAAATATTTTTTTAGAGTAATAAAATTAAGTGTTAAATATAAAAAGTCTATTGGAGTGCTTCAAAATTTTTATTCTTCGAATTTATAGATGATTTCTAAATAATAGAATATGTTCTTTAAAAATAGAGAGTCATTTGGAGATAATATAACATTGCTGTAAATCTATACTATACATGATGCGCACGCATGTGCACGTGCTCATGAACATAAACATTTTTATTTTTGGATACAAAGTTCCATGCATTTTTTATATTTATTACCTCTTTTTTGACAAAAAAAAAGGGAAATCATGCAAAAATCGGGACCAAAAATTCTCCGAGTTCTTTTAATGTGCTTCTATTATCTCTAGTATAATGGATATATCTGTATATAAAAAAATATACATAATGGATTACATAATATGATTTGAAAGGAAAAGAATTGATGAAAAAGTTGATTATGTTTTAAAGTGACAAATGATAAATTGTCATATGATCTTATGTAATCCATTATGTAAATCCTTTCGCAGATGTAGTAAGATCCAATGGATATTTGGTAAACAAGACAACGCTATAAATAGTAAAAATATGATATATTTTTGTATACAGTATTTTCTAGCGCTCTTATAATCATTTTCTGCACATATTTAGCACATTACAAGTGCATTAAAAAGGATTTTAGTCAGCAAGCAATGGAAGAAACAGAGAGAGGATAACTGTAGGTGTTTGCATACTGGAAGGAGATTGTATAACCGTACTCTAGAGGTTTACCATCATTGACCAGGCAATCGTTGAAGTGGAGCCGCTTGAAGACATGGGGGTTGATGAGCCGAGCGGAGCTGAACCACCCACAGCTGACATGGATCCTTGAAATGTTGCATGCCGCAACACACACGTTCATGATCTCCACTGTGTAAGTAGGTATCCCATTTGGCAGCGGCTGCGTTTGTCCTTGGCTTATAACTATGTCTGAACAATTTCTTTTAGCATATTTTCTATGTCGCCATCACTTAAATATAATCCTTTATGTCCATTACGTTTAAAAGAAAGGTCTAACTTAAAAAGTGTCAAAAACTACCAAACTCCACTAACCCGAGTGCCCAATATAGACACAGCATGGACTGTAGACCATCTACCCAGATCACAAGCCAGGCCATGGCCATGGCCATGCCGCGACATCTATATATATTTTTTTTTTTTTTTTTCACAATTTCTTTTAGCATATTTTCTATGTCGCCATCACTTAAATATAATCCTTTATGTCCATTACGTTTAAAAGAAAGGTCTAACTTAAAAAGTGTCAAAAACTACCAAACTCCACTAACCCGAGTGCCCAATATAGACACAGCATGGACTGTAGACCATCTACCCAGATCACAAGCCAGGCCATGGCCATGGCCATGCCGCGACATCTCAAAATCAAGTTGTGTGCCGTCCAACATTGACACCTCAAGACTAAACTGTAGCGTTGAACAAGATGTTCAAGGTAATAATAGAAAACTTAAGCTCCACTTTGTGCCTCATTTTTTTTAAATTCATTTTTTCTCAAATTTATTTTCAATCACATTTTTCTAATGAAAAAACTTTACACATAAATCCAATATTTTTGGTATTTTTTAATCTCACGTTCTCCAAAAAAAAAAAAAAAAAGATCACTTTTTATAGTATGAATTCTATAAAAAATAGGAATCGGAGGCTAAAACTTTTGGGAGGTGCTGCAAAGGCAAAATGAAAGAGACAATAGAGCCAAAAAGAGTGAATAAATGCTTTCAAGTCAACCTAGCCAAAAGAGGCAAAGGATTAGGGGAGAATATAGACCATTTATTTAATTTATGCATTCAATCTTTCTTCCAGCTTTTTAAAATTAACTATTCCACTCTGTAAAGCTAACATGCTGCAGCATTAATTGTTAACAATTGAGAGGTCTTAATCAAAACACACGTGAGCCAACATCTACTTGAAAGCAAAATAATGCAGCCAAATTCTTAATTACTTACCTAATAACTCAAAATGTAACTTTAAAGTAACACATAATCCTAGGAATATAGGACTTCAAGAAGCAGAAATAGGCTCTAAGAAAAAGGGGTAGGGTATCGGTCGGCCTAGAGCATACCAAGCAATGCAGAGTGCGCTTGGCGACTCAGGCTTCGATGGCCCAACACATTTTAGCACCGAGGGACGGAAGAAGGGACCGAGATGCACCACCCGAAATGGACTTGAAGGAGTAGGTAGTAGGCTAGTTCGTTGGGGAGGGCGTGGAGCAAAAGTGGCTAAGGACCTGGTGAGCCAGTAAAGTAGGCACAATTGTACACAGACTGAGAGAAAAAAGGGTGGCTAAGGCTGTGCCAATGGTGCTTGGTGCTGCAGTCTTGCCTCTCGCATATATAGGCAAAGAAGGACAATGCAAAAAGCAAAACAGTCACAGAATACAGAATTACACATAAACACATACATGTTTGTAACAGTGCTATGTACACTGGGCATTCAGAGTCTCTTTTTTGTACTCTTTGTTCATGCATAATCCAAATCCCATTAATGAAGGAGGTTTATCACTGTACGAATAATGGATTAATTATTGAATACTTTAAAGATAGAGAATGGATTAATTACCAATAAAGAAAAGTTTCCGATGAGAAGAATAGAAACTGTTGTTCTGGGCAGTACTGTTTGTGCTCTTCTTCACAGAAGAAACTGGACTGAAAGTGAACTTCATCAAGCCATGATCTGAAACTAATAAAACAAAAGATTAGGAAAAAAAAAAGAAAAAACCAATTCTTTGCAAATCTAGCAATATTATTCAATTTTTAGGAACTTTAAAAGTTAAATGGAATTGGAATCATTGAATCATCCCGAATCACTTAAATTACAAAACAAGAACACGACAGAAAAGGGATTAAATAAGGAATCAAGCATGTCGTCGCTGAAAGAGAGGCCATAATTAAACAAATTAAAGCAATGTATTATAGTGTGTACCTACAAAACAAAGATGGAATACAATACACAAAAAACACGCACAAACACTCATGTTCAATGAATACTGACCTGTATAGATTCCCATAATTAACAATAATGCGATAGAAAACACCACCGTGAGTGGAGCGTTGATCCGACACCTTATTGATGATTCGAAACTCATTTTTTTCCCCGAACGAAACCCTAAAATTTAATCTCCGGGCAAGATTAGGAGCTAGTTAGTTGCGTTTTGTTGAGTTCACTCGGAGATAGCTGCTAATAGCCCTGGGAACTAGACCAGCAAATCACCGCTAAAACGGAACAGGATAATCAGTACACTGATGAAATCTCAGCTTTATATTCTTTTAATTTTTGACTGACTAGACAACTCTGCCACACATGACACATTAGCATCAAACGATTTATTTTTCACATCAATATATATATCGATACAAACTATAACAGTACATATATATGTATGAATGAATACACATGTAAACATTATTCTAGCCTGGTTTATTCACCCATCAGGTATTAAAGGAGGTAGAATTTTTGCTTATTTTTAGGAACTTTAAAAGTTAAATGGAATTGGAATCATTGAATCATCCCGAATCACTTAAATTACAAAACAAGAACACGACAGAAAAGGGATTAAATAAGGAATCAAGCATGTCGTCGCTGAAAGAGAGGCCATAATTAAACAAATTAAAGCAATGTATTATAGTGTGTACCTACAAAACAAAGATGGAATACAATACACAAAAAACACGCACAAACACTCATGTTCAATGAATACTGACCTGTATAGATTCCCATAATTAACAATAATGCGATAGAAAACACCACCGTGAGTGGAGCGTTGATCCGACACCTTATTGATGATTCGAAACTCATTTTTTTCCCCGAACGAAACCCTAAAATTTAATCTCCGGGCAAGATTAGGAGCTAGTTAGTTGCGTTTTGTTGAGTTCACTCGGAGATAGCTGCTAATAGCCCTGGGAACTAGACCAGCAAATCACCGCTAAAACGGAACAGGATAATCAGTACACTGATGAAATCTCAGCTTTATATTCTTTTAATTTTTGACTGACTAGACAACTCTGCCACACATGACACATTAGCATCAAACGATTTATTTTTCACATCAATATATATATCGATACAAACTATAACAGTACATATATATGTATGAATGAATACACATGTAAACATTATTCTAGCCTGGTTTATTCACCCATCAGGTATTAAAGGAGGTAGAATTTTGGCTTTGAAAGAAACAATCACGTGGGGGTTTTTTACATACACGTGTGTGGGTGAAGAAGAAGAAGAAGAAGAAGAAGGAAGAAGAAGAAGAAGAAGAAGAAGAAGAAGAAGAATGAAATTTTAAAATACCTCTGGAATTTTCACAGAACAAATTCATCAATAAAAGAAAGTTTCTCTTTATCAAAAAACAAAAAGAAAAAAAGAAAGGAAGTTCCCCAAAACTGTTAACGGCAAACACAGTATTATTCCTTTCCAGTTTAATGCAAACCCAGAAGGAATAAAAAAAAAAAAAAAAACTGATGATACATTGGCTTAAGCATGAAGATGTATTTATATATAAGACACACACACACACACACATTCAAGGAAACAAAGCATTTGAAATCTATGAAATGCAGCGTTCACCATATCATTTTCACCTCTGATTTTTGGGAGAAAGGGAGAAGAATCCAATTCGAGGACGAGTGCGCGCAATTGCAATTTCCTGCTAAGAGCTTTTGCTGCAGTGTGGGTTCTTATGTAGGAGTCTGGACTTGCGGGCCTAAGGCTCCGTTTGTTTCCATTCTTTGGCAAAAAAAAAAAAAATGAAGAATATTCATCACATCAAGCCATAATATTTGACTTCCTATCTCCTGTGTAAATTTCGTAATGACTATATTTTTTATTCTCATTCTTATAAGAATGAGAATCAAATGGGGGCTTAATTAGAGAAAATTTCAGACATAAAATACAATGACATTGAAAAATTAAAAGTAACATATTGAAAAAAGAATCTTAGTGTGTATTTGAGCCACATTATATTGTCATAATGTATTTTGGAACAGTAGAGTAATGGAGAATGTGTGGCTAAAAAATTAGGAAAAACTTTCAATTTGCGTGTAAAATTATTTCATTGAAGAATGCGTGATTGAAATAATATCATATTACTATTTAAGAATGTATTTCTTTGAAAAAAATGTAGTTCAAACAGGGCCTTAAATTTATTGGGCCAAATGACCCTACTAGCTCAACCTCCCTCTACCACCAGACCTTATAAAGAATGAAAATTTTCAAGGCGAACGGTATGATACTAATTACGTGAACATTAAAGGTGTTTTGACAATTATCGTGATCAATTTTTGAGACTTGAAGCAAAAAACACCTGTAATTCGATCTATTCCGAAGTCAATGAAGTCCACTTACTTCTCTATCTACTTGTGTGGTACTTAAACATTTAGGACAACGATAGAATGCAAGATTGTTGCTCCATTGGGAGGTACAACGAATGTATGCATTTCGACGACGATCAAATTAGATACAAAAATTAGGTGTGGAGAGACAAGTTGACATAATTTTGACTAGGATTAATCACATATCTAGCTTAAATGATTATGTAGCGTATATATAGAGTTCAAATATCTAAGGGACATTTTTACCTCATGGTCAAACTTTTTTCCGCCCATAAGTTGATAGTAGATGAGTGGTGAATCCGTTACATCACTTTTCTAAAGTGGCTGTTCACGGAAGTCATTTCTATCTGTACCTCAAGTGTACCTAATTTAGTAATTATAATAGGGCATGAGAATGTTGATTCTCTAGAGCTTCAACCCTATTATGCTCAGGGAATCGGACTCAAAGCTCGAACCCTAAGTATATTAGCGTGGGGTCCAACCCAAGTTTGGTCTGATTCTTCGGCTCTTCTACGTGTTTAAAGCCTCCACATGGCTTGTGTAGGATGACTAGAGCTTCCCATGAGGTGGAAATGTAATAATACTCCTCCAAGTTCGAGGCTATTGTTTATTTCAGGCTTCATGACTTAGGTTAGATTGTGCTTTTTGAGCTCGATGTACTCAAATTTGGACTTCTCCAACTTTGAGGATTGTCATTTATCGTATAGGATTGCTTGACTAAGCCTCAACCACCATTTTGAGCTTTAGGCTTTAGCCTGCTTGACTTGTTAAGTTCCTAGGCTTGA